GAATGCTTTAAAAATCAAATGGTTCAAAATGCTGTTGCAGCTTGCTCTTTGCCCCTTGCCACTGCTTCCAGTGGTGCATATGCTTTCTCCGTTGTGTGCGCATTTAATCGCAATCACTGCCTTCGAGGGTTTTCTGAAAAGTAGTAATTAGTAATTAATAATTCTTTAGGCAACTATTCTGAGGCTGGCTCAATTCTGAACTCGTTCCGCAGGAAATACCCAGGTTATGCAGCTGTAGAACTGAGACTTATCGGAATGTTGAGAAGACGAGCAGATGCGGAAAGGTCAGCTCCATATTTGAGTTTATCGTTGTAATCATTGTGTTTGTGATAGTTTGTGTTTTGTGAGAGCTGAAGGAAAAAATCTTATAGAAGTCCTGACTATTCCGGTGTAATCAACAAATTCGAGAAGCTAATTCACTCTTCTGATACACCTCGTCATCTTAGCAGTTATTACTCCGTCAAATTGGCAAGGTATGTTCAACAGTAAAATGTCGCATGCGAATCGAGATCATGTTATGTAATCATTTCAATGCTTAACTCGTATTTTATCTTCCATCCAAAAACCAAGCCGTCCACATACTGATTCATACAGAAACGTTCTTCCGTACTAGTTGTGAATAGTCCCAAAATGTTCAGAAACTTTTTTCTAATGCGAATTCGAATGTGTTCGTGGTTCCAGGTTCCATTTGAAAACCCGGAATGATCGTCGACTGGCTGAAAAGATCATACGAAGAGCTTTAGAAAGAGATCGAGTAAGTCGTACGCCATTGTAGATGTGTAGTGGACTGTGTGGTCGCCTTTACTTGCGGTCCTAGTCACTTTTGACGTAAGGTGGCATTGGTGGTAAGAGTAGTCCTCCGTTTCTTAACATTATTGTGTTACACCCGCAGATGTTTTTGTGTTTCAGGATAATATTCAACTTCTGTTGCAACTCATCGACCTTGCATTCACAAACCCGGAATTCTCGCAGGTATGCATCATTTTCATGTATTTCAAGCAGTTGAGTTTCTTCAACGTGGTTTTTGGCACAGCCTGTACTGGTATATATCACAAGCAGTATGCGCTAGAACTCGTGCCGAGTTCTTTCAGTTTGGCTTTCATGACAAATACAGGCTACAGAAGTACAATTCTTCCGTGTTTTCATGATTGGTTCCAAAAGTTTCGGCTACTCATCCAATGCTACTCATACTGCAATTAACCTCATTCAGCTGAGGAAGTGTTTCTTTAGAAGCCTGTCGTTTGATGTTGTTTCTTCTGTGCCATACAGGTTGTTATGGTGGAACACGTTTATTGGTCAACGTTTCGACAATTCGTCGTCTTCAGGACCTGTGGCGAGTCCACCAGTCTTTGCAGCCTCCTCTTCTTGTTAGTGAGCGAATAAAAAAATTTTATTTTCGCTCACTAACAAGAAGAGGAGGCTGCAAAGACTGGTGGACTCGCCACAGGTCCTGAAGACGACGAATTGTCGAAACGTTGACCAATAAACGTGTTCCACCATAACAACCTGTATGGCACAGAAGAAACAACACAATATCCGAAATGCCCAGGTTCCAAGAAAACCGAACATGGAATTTATTGCTGTCGTTTGCCTAACCCCTTACCTGATCAGCTTCGCACAACGTACAAAGCGTTTGCAGCGGTGGCTCAGGTGCGTTAGTTGCACTTATGGGAAATGAGGTCCCAACAAACAATGTATACTTCTTTTATTCCTCCTTTCATCGTTTACAGTGTAGCCTACACGGGCGCATTTCAATGGTCTTTGCCAAAACATGCGCAGGTCCTCGGATTACCGTAGCATCTGCATCTGGCAGTTTGCAAACGTTACTCGTGCCAGATGCCCCAAACCTCCAGTTAGGGCGGTGTCAAGTTTCTTGAATGTAGCTGTACTTGGTGGATTTCCGATCGATACAATCGGAAATCCTAGGCGGTGACCAGGGTCAACCCTGCGTTGCGCAAAGAACAACGAGGGGGTCGTATTCAGCCGACCGAAAAGGGAGGGGGTCGTATCCACAGACGGGCTGCAAGACGGCTTGAAAAGTGCAGTGTCCGGGAGTGCACTTTCAGCCTCTAATGTTCTCCAGGAGCTCTGCACGCTGTCGGAGAGTCACACAGACATGAGCTCCATGGGAGCATTAAAGCATGCAGAGCACTATAAGTCTCACCATCAGCTTATTATCCTTAATCGACGCTATCCGGACGGCGCTTTTGCTCCGCGGCATAGATCAAGAGTACAATAGACAATAGCCAAAAACTTTGTTACAGTGTAGTGCAAAAACATGGTCTGTCTTCGATGATGAAACATTCCTGAAATCCCGAGGAGAACAAAGTGTAGAGCAGTTCATGGGAAAGTGAAACAAGAGTGCCATATAACAGCACAATACAACTCAATCAGGATACTAACACCTTCTTCAGGAAAACAGAAGACTTTCAAATGCGAGTGCGAATTCTGCCCACAGATAGGTGCACGGCGTATACCCGAGCAGGCGTTTTCCATAAAAACGCCTCCTCTGTCAGCGGCCGTAAGCAGACAAACTTTCTGAAGAGAGTTTCGATGCTTTCAAATAAAATCTAAGCGAAACAAAGTGTAGCGAATTTGCTGAATTGAGTTCTAGAGACGCCGTAGGAAAATTGAGGCAGAAGAAGGAATTTCAGGAAATTTCACAGTTGTTATGAAGTACTCTTCGAGTGGATTCCAACAATCTTTACCGCTTCTCATCACATTAATTTCAAAGGAAGTTATGGGCCTTTAAAGACTGCATAGTCGCGGTCCAGGAAAAAGGCTTGAAAAAAATCAAGGTGGAATTGACGGAACAACGGGACTATTTTTTGAGCGAGTGATTATTTCAAGAAGTTTTAGCACTTATTCGAAAGCTCTAATCCTCTAGTTTCTAATTAGCCTTAGACATCTGCAAAATGTTGAGTATGAAGAAAGTTATTAACGTTTGAATGTCGAAAACTCGCGCCTTCTCAAAAATCGGACCCCAAACCACCCAAGAACGGAACAACGGGACTATTTTTTGAAAAAATGATCGCTGGAAAATTTTCAGGTGCTTGTTCGAAAGCTCTAATCTTCTAGTTTCTAATTAGCCTTAGACATTTGCAAAAAGTTGATTATGAAGAAAGTTATGAATGTTTGAATGTCAAAAACTCGCGTGTGCACAGAAAACGGAACAACGGGACGATTTTTTGAAATATTGAACATCCACAACATTTCAAATACTCCTCAGGAAGAAAACTATTTATATTTTCAAAATTTTGGTGTCCGATTTCATGAAACAGCTTCTGAAAGAAAATATAACCTTCTGAATGGAGGGGTTTGGATTGCAATGTAATTGCTACAAGGTTTAGTTTTTCAGATTATAAGGTAAGGAAAGTTGAGAGATCGAAAAAATCCTGGTGGGTTTCTGAAAGTAGAAATCTTTACGATTAAAATGATGTATTGGTTTACGCAAAAATTTGAAAATTCCTTCTATTTAATGAATAAAACTTCATTTGCCTCGATTTCCTCCTCTGAGCGAGACAAAGCGCGCGGATTGACCACGGTCCACCACTTCTCCATGTTGGTGACTGCCATCATTGATGAGCATTGATGAGCATTAAATTATGTGAAAGACATGATAGTTAATATGGGGGGTCGTACCGATATACCCCCGAAAAGGAAGGGGGTCGTAAAAATTTGGGAATTTGCGCAACGCAGGGTTGACCCTGCTGGAGGGTGCGGATGCCCTTATATGTCCGCAGGTGTTACGATTGGCATGCGGAGACTCAAACTCTAAGTTCCCCAAAGATCTTGAGATTCACAGTAATGAGGGGTATCCATTCGTCTTACATTCAGATTATTTGACCCATTCTTCCAGAACTTGTGGCGAAGCGGCGGATTACAGCGGATTTATGCACAGGAATTTGTCAATTTGGCAACAATCAGGGGTCGTACTATGTAATAGAGTAATTTGGGTAATTTTGAATGCTGTGCATTGGTTAGCGATAGAACGGATTTGGACCCTTGTTTTCACTTCACTTGCCTTCCAATCCACTTATTAGGAAAACTATTTTTACAGAGATTACTTTGAGACCTAGTGGCAGCTTTTTGCATGAACAATGAAATAACGTTCTATACAAAAAGAATACGAGTGTTTTACTATTTATCAAGAATGTCAGTATCACATGCACATTACCACTAGTTTAGTTGCCTAGTTGCCAGCCGTGAGCTTTTGGTTGACGTGTTTAGGAAAATCCAATTTTCATAATATATGCTCTCTGTTGGTTCATGAAAAAAAAACCGCTCAAGACGGGATGCTCAGCGAAATTCATCTTTCAGACAGCCGTGATCGAGGCATTCGACTTCGCAATAAAATCAAACATTTCCGATGCTGACAAATTGCAGTTCAGTCAGAGGAAGTTGGACTTCCTCGAAGATCTCTCTTACGATATCGATGTGTAAGTTATTGTGATTCTCACCTTAGGTTATTCCATTCCAAAGTATCGAGGACATGTTTCAGATTACAAGAGCATCAAGACGCTCATGTTGCCTTATTGGCTGAGATGGAAAATCCACCAACCACAACACGAAAGCGAAGGTATAACGGCAGAGACGAGTCAAGATATTTCAAGTGAGTGTGAAGTATTAAAAATTCGGAAGAGATTTGAAATTATTCCGAATTTCCAGTGACAGAGATCGCGATGTGCCTTCTCGAAGAAGCCGATATTCGGATCATCGCGATTCCTACCGTGACAGTCACCGCGGAATGCGCGACGGTACCGGGTACTATGTGTCATCAAGCGGTAAGAAGCGTATAGTTCTCCAGTTACCATCTACAATGCCACCACTTCACATACATTCCACATTTGTAGGGAACCGTTCATAACAAGCCCTGGAGAGACAGTTTCGATTACTTGAAGAATGTGGTAATAATAGTCTTGCTTAAAAATCTCGGGTTTCTTGAGAGATGAATGGAAAGAGATTTAATGCTTCGGAG